CAAGTCCATTCTAAGTTATCACAACACTTTTCCAGAGTTTTCCAGATAGAGAATACTCAGAAGTGGTTTACCATTCCCTTCCTCTGGGAACGCTCTGGGACTGCATGCAGCTTGCCCAAGGCCACAGAGACTGGCTCTACTCGCAGGACACACAGTGGAGAATCAAACTCCCAATCAACCTAAACCACTTAGTTATCCAGTCAGCTAAATGAAAGGAATCAAACTATATTTCTTTCAATTCTGATGTGTAGAAGCTTAGAATACTGTGGAACGGAGAACGGGGATACCTAAGTAGTAATTTTGCCTTGGGTGGACTGTTCACATGCCTTTAAGCTCCAAATCACTCTAAGATGAAATGAATAATTTGAAAAAAATAACATTGGAGACATACATGTATTCAAATTCTCAGTCATGCATTTTAGAGTGGCTCCTAATGAGAAAAGAATTTAGAAACTCCAAGGAAGTTTCATTGTGACTTGGCTAGGATCTTTCTAACACAGACATCTTGTAGAATACTAAACAGCTGCTTGGCACCACCTCTAACCTCTTCATTATAAAAATAAAAAAATAGAATAGGACTTTGCTAAAGTACCACGTGACAATGAAAAAATGAACACAGGCTAAGCAATCCCCCCCTCCCAATCATTAGACCAAACACTGAAGAAAATGTTAAATATTAGCTTGTATTGGGAGGGGGGGAGTCTAGCTGATATAAAACGGAATTATTGGAGAAAGGGGTGGAATGTGATTACAGATTACAAAATTTTGGTTAGGATGTGGCATAAAAATATTCCTAATAAGGGAAATACGCACTTGAGAGCTTAGATTTTTTAAAAAATTAATTTTCATCACTGTCCCTATCTGCTGTACTGCCTGAAACAGGGTCTGAATATTGCCATGCCAAATTCTTCTAATATTCATTTTTCATAAGAGAAAGCAGCATTTCAGTGAGTGCTAAAAGAGTCAAAGAAAAGCAAATAAACAACTACAAAAGCCCTGCCTTCCACTCTTCACGAATCTTCAGCACCTATTCACAGGTTCTTCCTACATTCAAAATCTCTTTCTAAAGAAAACATCTCACATGCTGATAGTAGCCAACATCCAGCTTTAATATGAGAAATAATCATAGAAGCACAAAGCTAGAAGGTACCCATTGGATTATCAAGTCCAGCCCTGGTCAAGGAGGCACAATAGGGAATCAAACTCCCGACCTACCTAAACCACTGAGCTATCCAGCGGTTAATGGAGGATAGAACTAAGCTCAGAAACAGAGATCTTTGGCTGTTCCCTAATGTTCACTCAAAGTCTTCTTTATAGATACTTACTATGCACCAACATACAAGGGTGGAGTTCAAATGTTCTCCTATTGAGAGTTTTTGGTCACAATGATGAAAACTGACAAGACTGACTTTGATCAGTGCGATTCCAGTTTGTCTATCCTAAGCATGAATAAAATTTGAGCCAACCCATTCTGCTTCGAACTTTATCTAAATCCCGGTACTCTGTCTCTCTTGCCAAAAGCAAAGGTGCTTTTGTGCAGTGCATAAGTGGTCATGGAAATTGATCCTCTTGTTAGGCTCAGCATTAACCTCTAGCACAGATGGTAAAAACAAACAGGAGGAGACAGGGAGGCCAAATAGGCTTCATATTTTATGCA